TTGTGGCTTCCTTTCTTTGGCTTCAGATCACTGTGGGCCTAAAATCTTACAGTGCTCTCAAAGTCTACGTTTCCAACGGGAAAACCAAGTGCCATGGAAAATGAATCATGACCAACGAAATGTAGAGAGGTGGGCACACACAGGTGTGCAGGCACACACGCACAGAAATACTTTCCACATCTGTGTACACACACATGGATTTCTTCATTGGTTTGGGCTGACACTATTGCCCACATGCACCTGCTAAGCTAATGTTAATTGGATGCACATTAGCTGGATTTGGCAACACAAACACCATGTGCCCATATCTTCGTCTAATGCTAAAATCACGTGCTGACAAAATTCAATTCATCTTTTGGACTATCCTGCACTTTTCTAGTAAGTATTACTACTTAGCTCTTGTATTCTCACTTGGGACTGAAATATTAAGCATAGTTTTTGGAACTTAAGCAGACAAGCCCAACCTAAATAGCCCATGAAGTTGTGCTTTAAATTTCGATGCTTTTATTAAAATTTTTCCATATTTTGCTCTTGAGAATACTTAATTTCCTAAGATACGGTTGGAATAAGCATGCCTGTAATGCTGACTTGCAGAAATAGAGAGGTCCCTTTGAGAACACCTGTGCAGACACGGTGTGAAGAGGTGGTGGGTGTGGTCCGGGGATGTTTCTTCAAAGCATACGTCAAAACCAGAAGTTCCCATCTCACGGAGTTGACCACTTCCAGTTCAGACATTCAGAAAGAATAAATCCTGCCCTGAAGAAGATGACTCCTAGATGATTTTTACAGTTGGCAGTATTTTATTTAATGTCCTAGACTGATTTTTTTCTATGACCTAAACCTCAAAATCCTCCATCCTGCACTAATTTCCTTTGATAGATCCGAACAACCGCAGGCATCCGGTCTGACCTGCACAGGATACAAAATCACAGAACTTTTTCCTCTGTGATTCACAAAGAAAAGGTGCCCCGGGCGGCCCTGTGGCGCAGCGGTTGGGTTCCTGAGATCCGCCTGGGAGGCCCGGGTTCCCTGGTTCGGATCCTGGGTGTGGATGTAGCACCGCTTGGCAAAAGCCATGCTGTGGGAGGCGTCCCACGTTTGGGGTGGAGGAGGATGGGCATGGATGTTGGCTCTAGCCGGTCTTCCTTAGCAAAAGGAGGAGGATTGGCAGCAGTTAGCTCAGTGTTAATCTTCCTCAAAGAAAAAAAAAAGAAAAAAGAAAAGGTGTCCCAAGTTTATCCTCACAATGAGACATATGATGTCTATTTCCATCGGCTTATGTGAGTATAGCGGGTTCTTAGCTGCTGGAAACAGGAATGTACCTGTAAGAACTGCTTGTCCCGCCTGCCTTCCTCCTCCTGCCGGTAAGTTCCTGCGCCTAGAACAGCGGTGGCCACAACTGTCCGTGCTGCGATGGAAAACAAATCCCGTTGCCTCCGAAGCAGGACCAGTCTGTTGGCTCCATGGAACTGACGGGTGACAGATGTCCGCCGTCTCCACCCAGGCTCCTGCCTCGCCTGCAATCCCAGGCGCTTCAGGGCGTCTGCCCCAAGCCTCGCCTGCTGGGCGGTTGCCGCCTGTCTGTGCTGGCGCCGCCGTCCCCCACCCACGAGACCGGGCTGCTCACAGCCGCTGCACCTGTGGTTGCTCCGGGTCTGCGCTCCCCGTGCTCCTCTCCGGAGCATGTTGTGAGGAGCACTGCGATTCCGCGATTTGGGCGTTTCACAAACCAATGCAGTTTGCTCCAACCAAGACTCCAACCGAGGCACCTTTTCTTTGTGAATCACAGAGGAAAAAGTTCTGTGATTGTGAATTTGCGTCAAACCTGGGGTCCTGAAAGTTTGATGTCTGAAATAACCACAAGGTTTTGTGGGTAGAGACCAAAAGTAACATTAAAATGTATTTTATGGAAATAAATAAATGAAATATATTACAGCAGTGTTTCACTGTAAAAAACCTTTCATTTAGTCTTTTAGGTTTTTCCTAAAAATCTTCAAATAAGTTTCTAAGTGTTTTATAATAAAGTACTTGTGGCCCTATACATATGAATTAGAAATTACCGGAAACCTCTGTTCCAGATGTGTTTTAATTTAATTTAACTCTCCATCTGCGTTCTGCTTTTCCCACGTTCTGGACTTCTTCCATGTCGACCACTGGAAGTCACGTTCAAGGACTCTGACGGCCTTTGCAGGTCTTCAGCTGTTGTTGGAAAACAATTTCACACACAGGGAGTTTGTGGTCGGTGTGTGCGAAAGCGTTCAAATAAGCTTTCAGGCACATTGTCTGATACCGTATTGAACATAGTAGCCTCACCATGTTCACACTGTCATAGTTCTTTTTTGCCCATTTTAACATTTATTCTGAATAAAATTTAATGCTTTCATGAATCCAAAATAATATATTGATTATATTGTTGGTGCACTCATACTCTTTATCTAAATCTGTTTGCCCAGAGAAAGGAAATACAGTAAATATCAGGCTCGTTTTATATGCACACGCCCATTTTAAACTTGCAGGACGCGTGATACCACTAATTAGTGGCTGAGTAGCATCACGGACACTTAACCAACTATATGTCTTTTAGTTTCTTTCTTTTTGTATTCACATTCATCAGTTTGTTTAAAAATATCTGATCACTGATTATGTGTGAAGCCCAGTCTCTGTGCCTGAAATGCATCAAACAAAACAAGCAGAAAACTCATGCTCGTCTGTTTTCTAGCGTGAGGAGACTCAATGTCAAGAATACACACGGCATGGAACAAAATAGAGAGTTGCTGAGGGTTTGGGGAGCTGGAAGGGCAGAGCGCAGTTTTAAATAGGTTGATCAGCAGAGGATTCACAGAAAAAGTGACAATTGTGCAAAGGCTTCAAGGAGACCAGGGTGTTGGCGCCCGGGAATAACTGAGGGAAGAGCGTTCCAGAGGGAGGGCGAGGAGGGTGGCCTGGCAGGGGCTTGCCTGCCCTGTTGGAGGAGTAAGTAGTGTGACGTTCACACTCTCAAGAATGAAGAAGTCGGTAGAGCCATTTCATCCCGTCTGACAGCCCCTGAGCCCACAGCTGGTGTGCCTGGACTCATCCTTGCTTATAACACGCGCGTCAGCTCTCATAATCATTATTTTCAATTTTGCTTACACATGTTTGTGTTTACTACATTTCTATGCATTTTTAATTTACTTTTTAATTTTTTCCATTATATTCTAAGCTTCTTCAGGATAAAGAATTGGTCCTCTATTATTTTTTTCTATACTGTTTTCTAGGCCCAAACATCATTCAATAAATGTTGTTAACTGTAAGCAGAAAACAAAAAGACTTAAGAATCTCAATTTTAAACTCTGACTTAGTTCTGTGAATCTCAGTGGTCAAGTATTCTGGTGTTTGCCTCAGTTTCCTAAAGTGCAATTGAAAACCAATTAATTATTTTTAAGTATGTGAATGTATAAAGGTAAGTTAAAATAAAATATGGCTCTTACTAGTATTCCACAAATGTTAATAAGAAATAGGAGAGATAAAATGCAGAAATATGAACACAGTTCTTCAGAAAAAATGTGCAATTTGAAGGGCACTGAGGAAATCAAAAGACTTCCCCTGACGTGGCCAATGACGACATCTGTGAGCGGCTGACCTGGATGGATGTCCAGCTCTGACGGTCAGTGTCCGTCGGCCCTGCAGCAGCCCCAGACGGCATGGCCCTCAGGAAGCTCTGCCTCCACGTGGCCCCACTGCGTGCTCGTCTAGTTCTAGAATCATCTCTCTCATGGCTCAACCTCTATCTGAGGCCTTCACTTGCAGTAAAACGACAAGTCCAGGGTGCAAATCATGTGTTTTTGTACCTCTCAGATCCCATGAAGGCCATTTATGTCAGGACATTCTCTGATTTGTATTCTGATCTGCTGTGGGTGAGCCTTAAAATTATTTTGTCTAATATATATTATTCTAAAGTTCTTACTATTTCCAAATTTCCAAAAGAGAGATGAAAATTTAGTAGACAGATCGATGGTGAGAAGTGTTAAATCAGGCATCACAGACTGTTAGCTCCCCTTCCACACACAGCCAGCGGCACAGCCCTCAGTAGCTTTGAGCTGGCTCTGCTGATGACACAGACCTCAGAGCAGGTTCATGTCACTCAGAGACGCACAAAACACCCCCTGTGCAGCTCCTGCTACAAACTGAACACCATCACTCATTTAGCACCTATTTATTCACAGCTATGTAGGAGGGACTGTGCTAGATGGGAACATTAAGATAATTAAGATTCTCTCTGCCTTTTAAGAATTTAAGGCCTAGTGGAGGAGAATAGAGACTGACATTCTACCAGTCAGGGCTTTCCAGGATATTATGGTTCAAAAGTGTGGAAACAGAAGATGACCCATGCTTACCAAACTCATGGGAGCTGCTGCATAGACCAGCAGTGTCAGCCGATTGCTTATTCACAGACTTAAAGTCAGTGATGTCTCCTCAGACTAGCGTGAATACTCGTAATCACCATCCAGAGAAAGCTTTCCCAATACCAGGTTACCAGAGAATCCAGTTAATACTCAGAAGGTTGACTGGTGAGCAGGGTATCAGAGTAAAGACATCCAAACAGTCTTAAGCTGAACTCAGGCGACCATGACCACCGGCCTAGAGGACCCAGTGGTCAGTGGGCAGCTCCTGGAGACGTAGGGTCTCCGGTACGATTCAGGCGGCACAGGCACAGCCCAGCCCGCTCCTCTCGCCCCAGGCTCTGTGGGGGCTTGTAGACACTTATTTCCTTCAGGCCATTAAAATCCATTTGATTCTGTTTGAGTGCCGCCCATGGGGTGACGTCAGGGGGACTGTGACACGGTGTGCCCTCTGGCCACTCCTCAGGCGGCTGTCCCTGTGCTGCCTCCCCGTTTTTAACAGACTGACTGTTTCTTAGGCAGCCGTGGATTTAACAGTATTGGTAGAAACTTGTGATTTGCCATAAGCTCTTGGAAACTTTTAAATTTTCCAAAAATAAGCTCATTCTTTCCTTCTAGGTTGTAAAAATGATGATAATTGTTGTGGTGACGTTCGCCGTCTGCTGGCTGCCTTACCACGTCTACTTCATCCTCACGGCCGTCTACCAGCAGCTGAACCGCTGGAGGTACATCCAGCAGGTCTACCTGGCCAGCTTCTGGCTGGCCATGAGCTCCACCATGTACAACCCCCTCATCTACTGCTGTCTGAACAAGAGGTAAAAACAGTCACAAACCCTGGTTTCTTGTCACCCTGGCCTTGTTGGAAGCATATAGTGTTGCCCCAGCTTCTTGGTGCAAATTTAAAACGCAAAAGGAAGGGAAAGTTGGAAAATTCACTGAGGAAAGACAGAGCTTGATTTTTTCTAGACTCCTCCGCACTTTATGAAATATTCCACCTTAACAATTACTTCATCAAAACGACATTCGTAGAGGTTCTAACTGGGCAATTTTTATATGGGCCAAATTCTCCTTCCAAACCCTTCAGAATCTTATCTGCCAAAGGAAAGAAACGACCCCATGTCCAAAGTAGGTGAGCTGAAAACGAGCTCAAGTCCTCCAAGAAATGAAGATGCTTCGTGGAAAAGCAGATAGTTCTGTAAGATGGAGACAGGATGGCACGTGGAGTGGGCTCCTTTTTCTGTTTTAAGGACGTCTTGTAAATAGACTTCAGAATGGAAGACGTCTCGTGAGGGTGATGCAGGAGACCTGTCCTCCTTCCTGTACAGCAGGTCAGAGGCTGAGAGGGTGCCGCCCCCGAGGGACTGGTGTGAAGAAAACGAGGTGGTCAGAGGAAAGCTGTTTCTAAGTTGAATTTACAATAAAATTAGGAGTATTTACACCCATATTTAAGACTGGAAAAAAGGTGAAATGTGATTCCTGGGTGAAAACACCTTAGTTGTAGGGTCAGCACGTGGAGGCGTAGGGTCAAGTTTCTTCGGGTCGATAATTCCCTTAATAAACCACTGTGTTTGAGTTATTCTGAGAACAAGGAGAAATGGAACTTCACATAAGTAACTGCAAAGCTACACCCTAAGCTCTCTTCCCACCACACTGGGCCTTCCCTTTGCTAGTACTTAACTCTCACCTTTTTCGTTACTTTCATAAGCCACATAGCAATTCAAGTCACCCCACACAGTACCTGTTTTCTTTCTTTCTTTTTTTTTTTTTTGAGGTAGATTAGCCCTGAGCTAACAACTGCTGCCAATCCTCCTCTTTTTGCTGAGGAAGACTGGCCCTGAGCCAACATCCTTGCCCATCTTCCTCTACTTTATACCTGGGACACCTACCACAGCATGGCTTGCCAAGTGGTGCCGTGTCTGCACCCGGGATCCGAACCAGTGAACCCCGGGCCACAGAAGCGGAATGTGTGAACTTAACCGCTGCGCCACGAGGCTGGCCCAGTACATGTGTTTTTAATCAGCTTCATTTAATGGTTTACAAGGTCAAGGATTGTGCAGTCTCGTATGTAATTAAATAAAAACCATCAAGATTAGCAATTAATTCTAACATTATATGAGACTTTAACTTATAAAAGTGTATTTATTCCTCAAAGATGCTGTTTTGAAATATGTTATTTTTAAGTGTCCTGACCGGCAAGCCTAATTCAGTTACACTTGTGCAAATGTATAATATCATGGGAGAAATGTGCACTGTCTCTTTGGCATATTGACCACCTGACGCTGGGCTTTCCCTGTTTGACAGCTTCTCACTGATGGGAGATTAAGGTTCAATTCACACAAGAAAAACTTGAAACACTACTACCAAAACTATGACACAGATTCTAAGGTTTGACTTCCAGTTATAAAATAAGTCAGTCTTGGAGCTGTAATGTGCACCAAGGGGCTATCCTTAATGATACAGATTTCATATTTGAAAGTGGCAAAGAGAGTAGATCTTAAAAGTCCTCATCACAAGAAAAAACAATTGTAACTGTGTGTAATGGCAGATGTTAATTAGACTTGTAATCATTTCATAATGTATACAAGGAATCCTTATGATATATACCTGAAGCTAATACAATATGTCAGTTATGCCTCAATAAAAAGCAATTCTAAGACTTTGACTAGAAAATTAAAAAACTGAGCTTCCTCCAGTCGGCTTTCTGTGGCGGTTGAAGGAAACTTCCACCTGAAAACCTGACTTTGTCCTGTGGCCCACCTCTCCTCAGATTTCGAGCTGGCTTCAAGAGAGCATTTCGCTGGTGTCCCTTCATTGAAGTCTCCAGCTATGACGAGCTGGAGCTCAAGGCCACCAGGTTCCACCCGACTCGGCACGGCAGCCTGTACACTGTCACCAGGATGGAGTCCATGACTGTGGTTCCTGACCCCGGAGACGCGGACCACGCCACATCCAGTCGGAAGAAGCGGGCGACTCCCAGAGACTCCAACGTCAGCGGCTGCTCCCGCAGAGATTCCAAATCCGCCTCCACCACGTCGAGCTTCGTGGGCTCACCCTGCGCGCCTGTGGGGGCACGGTCCTGACTCCAGTCCTGACGAGGAAGACAGGTGTGAGGCCTTCGTGGCGCCCGCCTCGGCCCCGCTCTCCTCACCGTGTACCAGTCCTGCCTACAGACGCCTGGAAACAGAAGGGCAGTTTTTAGGCAGCTACTTTTCAGCTCAGAAAGGTAGCATAGAAATGCAGCAAAGACCCAGTTAAGACATTTGTCCCCCTAAGAAAAAAGGGCTTTAAGTTTGTTCTTTGAAAACTCTAAATTATTATCTGCAACAAACTGAAAAAAATGTCTGAAAATTACTTGTGTAATGTTCCATTTTTCTGATTTAAAAATTGAATATACGTTTATGACACTAAAATGACATAAGAATTTTTGAAAAGATTAAAGAAATTTTACAATATAATATTGTGAGTGAATATAAACAAAATCTATATAAAACAGAACTTTTCCATCTATAATTATAAACCAGAAAAAAAGTTAAATGACTCATTCTCCCACTACAGTGACAGAAAATTAAACTCAAAGAGTAGGAACAAGTGAAAAACTTTGCTCAAGAAAAATAATTTTGTAAAATGAAAAATTTTAAAGATTTTCTCCCTGAAATGTAACTGAAAAGGAAGTCTAGTCGAATTATGAGACAGCTATGTACCTACATTCTCTTTATTATTTCCTCTGAGAAAAAGGTTTCAAAATAAAAAAGTAATCATTTACTTTTTCACCATTACACATTCTAAAGTGCCAAGCTAAGAAACAAAGTTAGGACCTTAAAAGAACAAAGAAAATTCTTACAATCCTCTTTGTTTTATTTTTCAAGATACTTAAAAAGAAAAAAAAAATAGGTAGATTTTAAAACCTAAAGATGCCTTCTCAGGAAGAAGGGAGAATCCCATTTGTGTCTGAAACTGGCTGCTGGTTTTTAGGAAAGAGCTAAAGATAGCAATTCCTAGTTATGAAGGCAGACAGGAGCACGGACAGCTCGAGCAAGATGTGTTCACCCCTAAAAACCAAGGAGAAAGAAAGTGAGTCAGCTGTTAGGAAAGAAAGCCAGATGTTACTCTGGGGACGTGTGACCAGTGCCGGGCAACGGGAACCTAACGCCAGCCTCCCACAGAGGGAGCTGCCCCTCCGTCTGCTTGACGCCCAGAAGGTCTGGAAAGAAAGTCACTAATAGCTCCAGAGAAACACCTGTTTTACCACAGGAAAAATGTGCTGGCATTTCTGAAGCCGTGACAAGCACGGGGCATCAGGCAGGGCAGAATCTATCTCCAGACCTCAGTGCTTGTGGACCATCTCTCCTTGACTTAGAAATACTGTCGGTCCTGCTCAAGAAAGCAGAAACCTCCTGAGAATGTGTACGCACAGTACAAACTTCTCCCTTAAAATGTTCGGTTACACTTTTAAAGTTATCCATCTAAAATAACTATCTGTAACACTTCACTGCATCATTATGGCTCCATCAATATGGAGCCAACTGTTTTTGAAGAACAAGATGAAAGCAATTATTCCGGAGAAAAGCATGCCTACTACTGCCACGAGGTTAAATTTTCCGCTCCTCCTCCCTATTTTGGATGTAAAGCCGAAAATATCTAACTGTTACAAAGTGTTAAAAATCTAAACAACCCTGCCATACATGTTTGAGCTGAATTTCTTCTGAATATGTCAATTAATACACACATACAAATGTGCAGACACATGCAAGCATTTTAGTGAATATCACAGCTTCAAAGAACTAAGTTCAAAATTGAAAGCTGAAATAGTAAGTGGTCATTACAGAGTTGCCACAAACAGCTCAAAAAAGTCTGTGAATCTTGTGTGCATGCTTTAGATAAGAAAATTTACTATTACTTAGTATATGATTGTGTGAATATACTCTAAAAGTTCATTCCAAAAAGTGTAAACGTTCCTCATATAATGTGAAAGTGTCAAGAAAAAGCCTAATATTTTAAAGCAAGTGTTATTTTCTTCTTAGATTTAGAATGATTATGGGACTAGCGTTAGTTGATGTTCTGGATATGCGTGACCTTTTTCAGCCGTAGACTATGAATGTGGAGTTTGGCCCTCAGAGTCAATGTATTCAGCCACCAGCAAAACACACTGGAGAAACATAATCCTGGCCTTCACACATGTTAGAGAAACTCAGTAAAATTTACTAAGACATCTAAGGAAAAATATTGCTCCAGCCAGCTGTTCTGTTTTAGTTTTTTATTGGTCGATTTGTTGTGCTTACCAAGTATGATTCCTTCTACCATGACAGAGACACCTAAGACCCAGACAGTGTCGTTTTAATACTTTTTGTGGAAAACTGACTCTTTCACTCAATACTCTTGCCTCTTAAACCAAAACTTATACAGTAGAAGATTTTAAGCTCAAAATTTTGAAAAATAATAATAAAATAAATAAGGACAATATGAAAGAGATAAGATTTTAGTCCTTTTATCTGAATTTTGGCACTGACAATTGTAGACTAATACACATGGAAATCAGCTTCAGGAGGAGTCACTTTAAGTAAAGCTATGCCAGTGTTTTCACACTGGCCAGGCTTTGGAAGAATTTGCCTCCAAAACTCCCTCTACTCTCTGATCCTGAAGTTCAACGTGCATTTTCCTCATTGCTTGCGTGCAAACACTGGCTCAGAATACTAGGCATATGGTTAAAACATCCTAGGTTTTTTCAGATTTATATCAATACCAGAAAAATGCAAAATATTTTGAGAAAAATCTGAAAGACTCAAAAAGTCTTCATTGTTTTAAGTATTCTCTTTTTAAAAGAAAACCAAATAATAAACATTGTGCTTTCATTTTGCATCTAGACAGAGTGTTTTGAAATTACCTGCGTGGGAAAGAATTAAAGCAAGCATGATGATTATAGAATCCAGTCAAACATGTTTATTTTTCAGCAGCTCAGTATGCTGCTGCATTGTTCCATCTCCCAACTTCACTACGGTGACATTTCTGACCCAGCAGCCAAACTAGCATTCTTTTCCACATCCTGCCTATCTCTTGTAAACAGAGACCCAGCCAGCCTCACAGTGGCCTCCACACTCACGGAGCACAGAGGAATACCAAGAAGCTCGGTGTCAACCCTCAGAAGAAAACAAATGTGCAAATCAATGCTGGCCAGCACAGAATTTGTATTCAATTTTCCTTAATGCAGAATTTCATCTGAAAACTTCTGATTAATTTCAGGTAAATTATTTCATCAAATACAAAGGCAGGAGAATTACAACAGTTTTTCACATTTTTAACAGTAACAATTTGAGCCCCCACTTCTTGACAGTGTGTCAAAGGTTAAGGAAATCAAGCATGAGACTGCCATGTTGAATAACAGGGTTGCAATAATTTCCCCTATAGGGCCAAGCAGGAATGGAGAATAGAGCCCAATAGCTCTGTACAAGGTCAGTAATTCTTTGTTGTGAAATATCTTTGTGCAAATTCTGTGTATACAAGAAATAAATGTACATAAAATTTGTAGCTATTGAATAAAGTATTTTCAAGTTGTGGTAACTGTACAGAATAGGTTTGGTAGATTCATACTCTTTGCTTGTGCGGTTATATGTGAATGTTTTGATTTTTCTTTTCTTTCCTTTAAAAACATTAAAAATAACATTAAAAAAAAGCAGCCCTAATATTTCCCTACTGGCCAGCAAAGCACATGCTGTGAAGGGTCCCATCTTGTCTAAACACACACACCCAACCATCCTTCAAAACTATGTTGTGCTTCCTTCTTTATTTTTCCTCATAAAAATATCTAGTTTTCCTAAGTTACCTTGATTCAGAAAAAGCATCTATGGGGAGCAAAGGCATCAAAATATAGAAACGTGTTCTGCCTGGAGAGCAGGAGCAGCGATGGGAATGCAGGGCTGAAGTACACGCAGCTGAGTACCGAGCACAGCACTTAGAGCCCCAGCATCAGGTGAACCAACAGACAGCCCTGAGTCTGAATCTTGGCCCCACCAGCTCCAGCTGGGGGGCCTCGGACAAGTGCATCTCTTCTCTGAGCCTCTCTAACCCATCAGTAATGAAGAGAAAACAGTCATTTCTTCAAAGGGCTGATGAGAGGATTGAATGAGCTAATTCATGAATAGAGCAGATCCAAACACTAAACAAATGTTCACAAACATCGTTAGTATCGTTGTGCACATGGGGGTGATAGCGGAGAAATCCTCTTTTGCTGTATCACTCTGCCCCCAGCCAGAGCTCTTTGAGGGGCATCCATGGCCAGATGGCCTCCTCTCTCTTGGCCCTGGGCTGCTTTTGGAGCCCCACGAGATCTCGTGGATGTGGATGACTGTTCTGGAATCTGCCATCTGGCCCTGGGCCCTGAGTACAGAAGCTGAACTGGAGAAGGGTTACAAATGGCCAGTTAAGAGAAGGAGCAGTTTTGGGCATGTGAAACTAAACTCTCCTCTTAGGAAAGTTGCAGTTAAATGCAGCCAGTTTAGGTTGAAGAGTGAGAATGTTAAACTTGAGAAGATAACAAATGAGGGAGTGAGAGCAGACCTTTTTCTCTGCAGGTTTGCACAGCAGCATCGCTGCCTGTTCTCCGTGCCTCCCCCATGCCCTGAGGAAGAGCGCTCTGGGACACTTCCATGGCAGGTGGCAGCAGTGGCCCTCGCTGCCTTTCCATTTCTACCAGTTGCAAGGACGTTAGACCTGATCCAGTCCCTCAACCCCACTCAGACACAAGCTGACCATCTCCTCCCCTATCCCAGCATCTCATCATAAAGTGGGAAAGAGAGAATGAAGCAAGACATCGTCACCAGCTCCCACACGACCTAAGCATCAGGAAATCCTCTAAGCTCTTAAAATACATCCATTGTTCTACTGATTCACCTGGTCCAAGCTACGGTCATCTCCTGACACGATCATTGTCATAGCTCCCATCTTTCCTCCCTAAAGTCCATTCTTAATAAGACAGCCATGGTGATCCCTTTTAAAACAGTGTCACATCATCTCACTCCTCTGCTCAGAATCCTCAGGTGGCTTCCCATTTCACTCAGAATAACAGCCAAGTCCAACAATGGTGTAGGAGGACCTTCATGATGTGGCGCTTCTAACTGCCTGGTCACTCCCGTGCTCGCTGGGATCCGTGGACTGTCGCTCTGGCTTCTTTCCTGGCGTGTGCCAAACATGCTGCAACCACAAGACCCTGGGACATGCTACTCCTTCTGTCTGGAGTGTTGTCCACCATGAGAGTTTCATGACAAACTCCTTCATTTGCTTCAAACCTTTGCCCAACGAGGCCAATCCTGATTACCTTATTTAAAATCGCAAGTCCCCACCCACCCCAAACCATTCCTCCCAATCCTCTCTCTTGCTCTTAATTTTTTCATAATATTTATCACTTTGCAGAGTACCCCATAATTTACTCATTCGTTTTCTTTA